TAAAGACTAGGTAAAAAGCTAAAGACTAGGTAAACACACGTGTCAAGCCCATCTACATAATCAGCCTTATTTTTTGAAATTCAAAAACTCCAACATGGTTATATGTATATGATGCAAGCCTATGATTTCTAGAGGTACAAAGTGTGGATCTGAATTCTTGTACGGTTTTAGTTCATAGGTGGTCGGTGCCCTAAAGAAGGTTCAATTGATTGTCACTCTATGATGGCATCCGAGTTGGTGAGATGACGCATGAAGTTAAGTATGCACTTCATTGTGGGCTGTCATTCTGTTGCATTTGTAAGTGTCTTGATCTGACACCAAATGATAGATACGAAGTAGTAGTAGCGCACAGGAAAGCTGTATGGAGGTTTACAGAGGTTCTTTAGACAAAATTATTTTCCAGGTAGGATCCTTGAAGGGAACCTATTGAGCTTTTGAAATAGTGATCCTTGTTATTTTCCAAGTCGCAATTGAACCCTAGATCCAGGGGTCTTCAGGACAACCACTCTACTATATGGAGTAGAGGTTAGCTCTGCATAATTTCCACGCTTGACCCCACCTATGAGTGGTATATACTGGGTTAGTGTGGTTTGGTTTACAATGAACCCTAGATAATCAAGTACATGGTAACTAGGGGTTGAATTCATGGAAAATTGATTTGAGAATTTTTTAGGAAAATAAGAAATTAACATCAAGTTGATGAGGAATAGATTACTCACTGGTTATCTGAATGTGTTAAAAAAAAAAATTAATTCATAGGTTTGGAATCCAATATGTTGTTGGTAATCCAGAGAAACATAAGGATAATCATGTAATTCCCTGTGTTATGTTCTATCCCTATCGTTGATGTATGTGTTTGGATCTTGCGGATAGTTGGATAAACAATAAAACTTATTTTATGAAAGCACGACCCTTATTAAAGTCATTACTTGCCTACTTGGTATTAGTTTGAGGATCATAGGAACAAAACCTTGACTTTTTTAGCGTTGAATTTAAGTTGATAAACATCAAATCTGGTCAAGTACAAAATTAAAGCATCAGAGAGTAGGAAAAAATACAGTAGTCTTGGGACATATTAGTCATGAAGCTGTGACTATCATGTAGATAAGGATCTGGAAAAGAGGAGGATGAAATCTCATTTCTCCAGTTTGCCAAGTACCTCTTCCTACACTTGGGTCCTATTAATTATAGCCTTCAGCTTTGTTTAGGGTTCCTATGAACGTCGGCGGGAATGATGCAAATCTCATGCAGTTTAGTAATTTTCTTCCTGAATCACCCAATATGTTAATCATTAGCGCCTCTACTTCACTACTTCCTGAAATACACGAGAATGAAAGCTGAAAACTGCGACCAAAAGGGAGCTTGGATACTACTCCAACAGACTGTAATACCAATCAAGTAATCGAGTTGGTTTTATATGGATTGATCAATTTGTTGGACGATGAACGAATGTGGTTAGATTCTTCTCTCTGATTGTTGCCTTGTTAAACCTTTGTAGGAACTGGGTACTTGACCGCATGCTTCGCACTTATGGTTGGACCGCAAGGTCATGCAATCGGCGTGGAGCATATTCCAGAGTTGGTTGCAGTGTCCATTAAGAATGTTGAAAAAAGTGCAGCTGCTCCATTGCTCAAAGATGGATCTCTTGCCTTGCATGTTGGTGGTGAGTTATGCCACTTTGTTGTTTATGATTGTCATGTGCACCAAATCATCTCTGAATGGGATATATTGGTCTCGTTCCGTTTGGTCACACCTTATATATGAGTAGGTTCCAAATGCCTATCAAGTTATTTATGCATATGATGACAGATGGGAGAGAAGGGTGGCCGGAGTTTGCACCTTATGACGCTATTCATGTTGGGGCAGCATCACCAGAAATTCCAAAACCACTTGTTGATCAGTTGAAACCAGGGGGAAGGCTGGTTATCCCGGTTGGGAACATATTTCAGGAACTCAAAGTTGTGGATAAGAACGAGGATGGTTCCGTGACTGTGCGTACTGAAACATCTGTACGTTATGTTCCTCTCACAAGTAGGGAAGCCCAGTTGCGAGGTTACTGACGCGGCACAGTTTGATCAGGGCTGTTAACGATAAGTTTCCAAGTTGCACTTCCCTCGATGACCACATTTGTACACATAAAGGTCTCGACATTGTAAATGGTTTTTTGTTTATGATCTGTTATGTACAAGACTATACTGGGTTGATTGTGAACATGTGTCTGCCTGCATCTGCTCGATGACTGAATGGATTGGAGACCATAAAAGAGCGATTATGAGAGGTCTTGATCCGATTTTAAAAAATAAAGCGATCGCCAAAACGATCAAGTTCCAACAAGATACCCCAAGCAAAAACTAATTCAAAATATACGCTTTGATTAGCACCTTATCAAATGTCCTAACAAGAACTATCAATCAATTTATAACTGGCAAAAAACACCCATAAATATCGTTCCCGAAACTTGCAATCAATAGGCACCACGCTTCCGTCTTTCCTCAGCCACGTTCACTCTGATCGCTCTCCCGCCAAAGCTCTGCAACCAAAAACACGAGTTATTAAAGAACGCAGGCTTCGGGGGTTAGATGGTAAATCCATCAAGAAAGCGTACCTGTCCATCAAGATTTTCGATAGCATCATTCATTTCGCTCTGGGAGGACATTGACACGAAGCCGAAACCACGCGATCGACCACTTTCGCGATCGTAAATAATTCTTGCATTCACCACCTTACCATGTTCACTAAAAACCTGTTCAAGGCGGCCATCGTCCATGTCCCATGGTATGTTCCCGACATACATTGTGTACGAAGGGCCGGTCGGCTGCTCGGTGCGCTCTGGCTTTGATCCCCTTGGAGCAGCCTTGTTCACAGTCAAAAACCTCCCTCCCAGTTCCTGTTTCAAATACAAAAACTCAGTTATAATATTTTAAACCTATTTGGCCAACTTTGGTATCTTTTTATAATACATTTGTTTTTATAATAACGATTCAAATAATAATTATTTTACTTTTTATTACACTAATTTTAAACTAATTACAATTTAAATAGAAAACAAAAAATAGACTAAATTACGATTTTCATCCCTCTGGTTTATAAATTGTGATTTTCGTCCCCTGATTAATTGGACCAAAACAGTAAAAAAATTATAAATCATAAAGGACTAAAACTGCAATGCTTAACAGATCACAGGGACTAAACACACAATTTACTCAAATTGGCATCCCATTTTGCCGGTTGAATGGTTCTATATCACTAAAAATATGGCGTCCGGTTGGAGAGGGTACTCCGGTAGAAAAAGGTTTTGTCTCCCTTCATTGGACATTATAGAATGAAAAACATTGTTGAATGGTTTTGTGCAGAATTATTAAATGGTCAGAATGATTAATAGTCTCTTATGATATAGTATAAAATAAAATATAATTGTTTGGTAATTGTATACAATGAAATTAAGTTCAAAATACAATATCATTTAGGTTCAAAATACAATATCATTTAAAAGATTTTAAAATCATTATAGGATGAAAAAGCATTAAATGGACCGTTTTTCAAACATTTACCCATGTAATGTAATCATTATCACTTACCGATAACATTTACAAACATCAATATGGATTGTTGTTAAAGCATTTATGACCGATCACCGGAAAACGGCTTATTCGATAAGCGCATGATAAACAACCCGGATCAATTAAGAAACTAACAATTGCATTAAGCCCTTTAGATAACAAACAAGCATAGAGACCATAAATCTGTAAACTTACATATCGACTGAACATATCAACAGCCTTCTCTGCTTCTTCAACACTACTCATCGTCACAAACCCAAAACCTCGACTTTGATCAGTCTCCCGGTTATAAATAACCTAAGACACCACCAAAACAACCACATATGATTTCCATTTAAAATCCAAAAAGGAAGCCATATTAATTCAACAACTTACCTCGGAAATCTCAACAACACCGGCTTTCTCGAAAAGATGAGCCAATTTCTCACTGTCAACATCATAAGGCAAATTCCCCACGAAAATCTTCGCATCTTCCGGCGGCTCAGAATACTCCTCCTCCCCTCCGGTACCAGCGTCTCCGATCGCATCCCCTTCCCAATCGGATACACCGGCGGCCGGAGTTTCGTTTTCCCATCTCAATTCTTGATCTTCTTCGAGAACCAGTGTGTTTTCTTCTTCTTGTTGGGCCGAAATGAAGGTTATAATGGTTCGTGAATTGGGTTTTCTTCGTAGAGAGAAGGATGGCGATGAAGCGTAAAGGGATGTGAAAGAAGCGGAGAGGTGGAGTTTGATGGGTTTTAGAGGTAAGGAGATTTGTTGGTGGGATTTGACGGGGAAGATGGCCGGAGATGATGATATTAAGCAAGTGTTTGCCATTGATATGGGTTTTGCCGCAGAAGCCATTGTTGGATTTGTGAAGCGAGGATAAGGAGGCGTTGCACAGGGGCAAAAGAGAACGAAGGAGACGATGATATCGATGAATGAATATATACAGAGTTACGAAGAGGGATACAAATGGGCCATCCGTCATCATGGGCTTTGGGCTGTAAAACTTATTAGGTCAGAAATCAGAACGAGCATATGACGGGTCATTGGGTCATTTAGGGATATATGATTTGGGTTAGACATGGCCAAAATCAGGTACCAGGCCGGGCCCAAATTAGTCCCGGTCCCAACATACTGAACAAAGTGATCCCGTTCCCGGTCCAGGTCCCAACTCAAATATGAAGACCTGATTAAGGTGTATGAGGCCCAGTTATGAGATCCGGTCCCGGTCCTTGTCTCGGATCGGGCCTAAATTGGTCCTATATTAAATAAAATTAAAATCTCGGGCAGGACCAGAAGGGGGCTTGTTTTTTGATGAAAACATAACAGATATTAACTAGCGGTGACATACCGATCCCAATTGGTTCCGGGTCGGGTCGGTCCCACTCTCGAGCCTCCGTCGGGCCGGCCCATTTGGCCATCTCTAATTTCGGTTAAATGCATTAAATTTTGTATTATAATATTTTGCTTTTATGTTTTTATTACAATAATATATTCTTAAATTTGCTCCAAATGTCAAAAGTACCTACAGGTCTCATGTTCAAATCCAAGAAGGAATAAAAATCCTCTTGTGGCCACGGAGGTTCAAATGTGGTGACTCCGGGTATCTGTGAAGCAATTGGTCGCCCTGGGATTAGTCGGCTCGCTTAGCGGGTAGATATCTAGGTTAATCAAAAAAATTAAATTATTTTTTATCACGACATCATACTTTGAAAATTTTACCTATTACAACAATGAGTAACATGTTACTTTTTAAACTGGTTACACCCTTTACTATAGTTTTTTTGTTTATTTGGTTCCAATGAGTTGATGTGGATGACACATCATTTTGATGACTTCCAATTATTATTTTCATTTTTCATTACTACGATTAAAAAAATGTAACTTTTTTTGAATTTTTTTATTAAATTGCATTTAAATTCTATTATAGAATAAATATATGTTTTAAATAAATATGATATATTATTTTCGAGATAACTATTTTATTATAAAAAAAGTGACAATTCTTATTTTATTTTGTTCAAAAAAATACATATATTTTAAATTTCTATTTAAGATGTTAGCGAGATAAATTGTGATCTATAATTTTTTTAATATCATTATATTAATGAATAATTCAAAAAGTATAATCAATATAATATATTTATATGTCAAGTAAATTTTTTTAAAAGAAAATATTTTTGGAAAATTTACATAAATAAAAATTGATTTCACTTTTTAGCTACGTTAAAAAACATTCATTAAATAGCCAAAATTTACACTTAAACTTTAAGTAGAAAGGTTGGTTCCTACCTAAAGCTTTCAATTTAAAATAAATTACATTTGACACCCTTATATTTAATTATTTAATTTACTTTATATCTTTTACTGTTTCATTTTTCGTTTTACACATTTATTATATTAAGACATATACTCATATATTAACAAAAATACAGGAAAAAAACACGTTTCTTTTTTTACAAATTATACCATTATAATCATCCCGTCAGTACGGTCATAATGAGTTCAATATTGAATATTTTAGAATTTAGTCTTATATTATTAAATATTATAAAGTTTACAAATTATTTTTAGTAGTTACATTGTATACTCTTATTGTTACAGATTGGGCAAATTGCGTAAAAAAAGTAACGTACTTTAACTTGATTCCTATTTTAGATAAAGTACTTTCAAAACTTTCATTTTGGTACCTAAAATGTAAAGTTTTAAACATTTAAGTACTCGGGTAATTGGTTGAAATATTAACCGATTATCATGTTGATTTGGCGAGTGATGTGGTATTCAACTCGATATTATTTGCTGACGTGGTCAGTGACGTGAATTTTTTTTAATCTAAAATTAGTCCTTTTTTTTTGTCTAAAATTAGTCTTCACCGGGTTACCCGGGTACTTAAATGTTTAAAACTTTACATCTTAGGTACCAAAATAAAAGTTTTGAAAGTACGTTACCCAAAATAGGAATCAAATTAAAGTACGTTACTTTTTCAAGCAATTTGCCCTTACAGATTATGTGTGTTAATATAACAAACGCGTTATATGGAAAAAAAATTAATAATACATTAAATAACTAACCATAAGGGTTGAAAATGTAAATATTAAAAATAATCCGTACGTATTTATGATATTTAATAATATAAGATCAAACCCTAAAATTTCAATATTTGTTTCATTCTGAACATATTGATGAGATGTTTATAATGATGTAATTTATATAAAAAAATATTTTTTTTATATTTTAGATAATATACGATTATATATGTTAATATAATAAATGTGTAAAATAAAAAAGTAAAGAATATAATATAAATTAGACAATTATTAGAAGGGTGTAAAATTGAGTATGCTATTTTTACAGTTTACATCTTTATAATTAGTTATCTAGTTTATTTTATATCCCTTATTTTTTCATTTTTATTTTACACATTTATTATATTAACACACATATTTGTATATTAATTAAAATACATAAAAAAATATGTTTTCTTATTTTATAAATTACAATCGTTTCATCAATACATGTAAAATGAGCTCAATATTGAATATTTTTTAACTTAATTTTATATTATTAAATATCATAAAACTTATGAAGTATTTTTAATAATTATATTTCATACTTTTATAATTATAAGATTAAATAAATAATCATAACAATAGAAAATACAACTTTAAAAATAATTCATATATATTTATAATATTTAATAATAAGATAAATTGTATTAAAATGAATTAAAAAACTTTTAAGTTGATTCCTGCTTCATTTTAGGGTCTTAGAACTCGATGACTTGATTACCTGCAAAAACTGACGTGTTATTATAATTTAGGGGTTGTTTGACGATTACTGGATGGTTTAGTATAAAATAATTAAATGGTCAGAATAATTAATAAGCTTTTATGATATAATACAAAATGAAATATAATTGTTTAGTAATTGTGTACAATGAAATAGGCTCTTAATGGTTAAGGGAGATTCATGATACAAAATCATTCAGAAGATTTTAAAATTATTAAGAATTAAGAGACGATCTTTTTTTTACTAAATAAAATTCATTTCTTAACGATTGAGAGATTCACCTCTTAATATTATTTGATGAGGTGTCAAAATGACGTGGATTTGTAATCTAAAACCAAATAATCCTTTTAATTTCCTCGTCTCCTCCACTGTCATCGTCCCTACCGAAAACCCTTGAAGAAAATCTCTCCACTCCCCTGCAATTCTTCTATCATGGATTTGGGGTTTTGAATTTAGAGATCTTAACCTAGGGTTTTGACATCTTCTTCAGAAATCCGGTGGTCCATTTCAAACTTGTTCCTCACCGGAATGGGTTAATAGGTCGTCGGAGAAGATGAGTTAAGGGGTCCAGTTTGGTGGTCCACATCTTCTTTTTGTTTCACTATTTCTTTATTGTCGTAATCCTTACTCTGAAGTCGATGGTGCTGTTAAAGAGGAAGTAATTGGATCCGACAGTTACGAGTCGTTTCGAACCCAAAAGCTTTAGTAAGTAGAAGGAGGAGGGCCCCACGATGGATGGAGGCCGGTGGCGGTGGTGCTGGAAAAAAAAAAGAGAGGTGGTACTGTAGAAGGAGGAGGGGCAATACGACGGATAAACGCCGGTGGCGGTGGTGGTAGAGAAAAAGGAGGAAGAGGGACACGTGATGGATAGGGACCGATGGCGGTGGTGCTATAGAAGGAGGAGGAGCAACTAATGTAAAGAATTGTTTAGGAAGTTAATTATTTAAAATAAGAAAGTTTAATGAATTTTTAATTAAAAAATAGTTTAAGGACTTAATCATTTAAAATAAAAAATACAGTTAAGTGAAAGACTTTTGCCTACAAATTTTTCCTTAAAAAATCTGTCGTTAAAGGATGATTCGCATATAACAAATCACTACATGATTTTCACTTTATACAATCATATTACTAAATTATCTGATAAGCAAATGCTACAAGCATTCTTGTATTAAATAGACTTTTTGAAAAGATCGTACACTCGTACCTAGTTACTTATTGATATATTGAAATGCTTAACTATGCGTTACGTAATTTTAACACCGTTTACTTGGGACGTACATGAGTTATGAAGGGAAAGGTGTCGCAACGGCTAAAAGAGGAGTTCTTTTGCGAATCGTAAGGCCATGTCGTTCATTCATGTCTAGATCTTCTGCCTTACCTCCATTCGGCAACTCCCAGTCGAACTTATGCAGAAGATTAGCCAATATATTCTCGTTTGTCGTCATTGCAAATGTAATTCCAGGACAACCCCTCCTTCCGGCACCAAATGGGATTAAATTAAAATCAAACCCTTTGAAATCAATAGAACAATCCAAGAATCTCTCTGGTCGAAACTCGTCGGGTTCATCCCACACTTTAGGGTCTCTCGCAATGGCCCATGCATTAATGATAACCCTTGTTCCTTTTTCAACGTCGTAGCCCATGATATTAACATCTTGGCTGGAAATTCGAGGAACGAGGGTTGGGATTGGGGGATGAAGTCGAAGAGTTTCTTTAAGCACGGCTTTCAAGTACTTCATGTTGTTGATATCATCTTGGCTTATTTGTTGCTTACCCTTGAGAACTGTCCTGACTTCATCCTGGGTTCTCTTCAAAACCTTCGGATGTTTCAAAAGTTTTGTAAATGCCCATTCTATCACAGTTGCTGTTGTGTCTGTTCCAGCAGTATAAGCATCCTATCAAAACAATGATCAGTTAACAAGAAAAATATAATCTAGCCATTCATTAAATTCTATATGTCCGTCGTTAGGTAGCAATCAACACATGTAACTTTTATCTAAAAAACTCTCGCTGTTAAATTCGTCAGTAATTAACGTCAGATAAATGATACACGTGATTTTTTTTGGATTAAAATAATATTTAAAAAAATCCAATGATTTAATTATTTAAAAAAATCGAACAACGTGGTAATTCAATATAAAAAGCTATCATTAATTTAAAAAAAAACTTTATTATTTAAAATTAATTTTAAAAGAGTTTTTTTATTAATCTAAATATCCAATTCGCTATGCGAGCTGATTAATCATAGGACGATCACCTGCTTTGCAGGTAGTCCGGAGTAACCGTATTTGAATCTCCATGGCCACAAGAAGATTTTTGTTCTCCTTAAATTTGAACCTAGGACCTCCTAACACTTTTGAATTTTGAAATCAAGTTCAAACCAATAATCACCACACTTATGGTTTTTAAAAGAGTTTTTGCAAATATCATCGATCAAAGTGCAAAGGAAAGCTAGTTAATTACCAAGAGGAGTGCTTTAATGGCGATTCTCTCCAGTGGTACTCCTACGCTATCATCCTTTTGGATCTTCAACAATATATCAACAAAGTCTTCTCTACCACCACCGCCACCACCACCACCACCACCACCCTCCGCCTGTTTCTTCAGCCGCTCCTCCACCACACCCTCTAAGAATTCGTCCAGTTCTCTCGCCACCTTCTCCACCCTAGCGTCGAACCCACTAAGTCGAGCCACCCATGCAAACCGAGGAAGAAGATCCTCCAAATCAAAACCACCCAAAACAGCAAAAAACTCCCCCAACATCTTCTTGAACCTCCGACCTCTCTCCCCTTCACTGTACTTCCTCCCAAACGTCACCATACACACCACATCATTCGTGAACGTCAAGAACAAATCACTCAAATCCACCGCCTCCCCATGCTCACGTGATTTCTTGATTTTCTCAACAACAATCGCCATTTCTTCCTCCCTCACCTCATTACAGGATTCCACCCTTTTGTTGCTCAACAGATGGAGAACCATGATACTCTTAACCTGCCTCCAGTACTCACCATAAGGTGCCACCGATACTTCTCTGTTGTCGTAGAGGAGTCTCCGCCACATTCGGACGTCAGGTCGGTTGGCAAACACGAGATCTTTGGTCTTCAGTATTTCTCTGGCGGCGTCCGCCGATGAGACCACCAGGGTTGGGACGGAGCCCAAGTGGAGGAGCATGAGTGGACCACCATGGCGTTGGGATAAAGATGCAAGATCGCGGTGGAGGAGTGGACCGATCTGGTGGAGGTTGCCGATCACCGGCAGCCTTGGTGGTGATGGCGGTAGGTTTTTCTTGGTGGAAAGTCGAGTAAAGTAGTGGGATTTACCCAGAAAGAAGAGTAGGATGAAGAAAGGGGAAGCATACATGAAAGTGATGAAATCCACCATTTTTGTGTGTGTAGATCACGGAGGCTACTCGGTTTGTCTATTTATGGGAGAAAGAAGGGTTTCAGGTTAGAAAATTAAATTTGAAATCTACAAATCCCAATGCAATTATTAAAATATTTTAGATTTAATCCTCGTTTAGTTATATAAATTCAAACATATAGCTTTAATAACTTATATTTGTACACAATTTACTTGTAATCTTGAATTTTAAGTAACATGCATCTATAAACAGTACTTCATGCATAAAAAATGGTTTTTAAGAGTTTTTGTCAAATACTGTATAGATATTAAACTACCATTTAAGTCCTTGTGGTTTGTTGATCATACCGATTTTAGTCCCTAGTCTTTCAAAATCGTTTCTTAGTCATAAATGGTTCTCATTTTTCTTTCGTTTTTCATCCCTTAAACTAATTTCGTTAAATTCGAATCGTTAACTTAAGGACGTTTTAATTTTTTATCATTGTAATTAATTTTCTTATAAAAAGTAACATAATATTTTATAAACATTATTATATAATAGAAGGGAACTCGTGCAATGCATCAAGACACATCTTGATTTCAGTGTTTCGTTTTATTCCTTTTTTATGTCGATATGATATGATTTTATGTGGTTTTGAGAAATTGATAATGTTTTTATTTTTGAATAAAATATAAATCTAAAAATATCATAAATTTTTTTAAAAAAATATCGATATCAGTATCAAATTAATATTTTTAAAATTTTTTGTGTTTTAGTGTAATTTTTTTAATTAAATTTTTTAAATTATAATTTAATTTAGGGTTAGTGACAAAGAAATTTAATTTAGGTTTAATAATATAATTTAAAAAAATAATAACTAATATTCTGTTAGATATCTATGATTATCCTAATTATATTTTAGATTTTTTATATTTAAAATGAGATCTGATTATGTTTATTTACAGTTAATTACACGAATTTAAATATGCAGCTTCAATAAGTTGTATTTATGCACAATTTACTTATAATCTTAAACTTTAATTAATATGAATCAATAAACAGTACTTCGTGCATAAAAAATGGTTTTTAAGAGTTTTTGTCAAATGCTTTATAATATAGTATAAATACATCTCGTTCAGACCCTCAACTTGAGATCGCATGCTCACTCCTTTTCCCCTTTACAGCAACACCTCCTTTCTCCTTTCCATTATTTTAAACGTTATAAAAAGAAGGTTAATTCTAGAACACTTTTCAAACTTCCAGGGCAGATGGTCATACGGTCCTTGACTCCTCGCCTTTTTCTTTCGATAGAGTGAAACATCTCTAGTCCATTAAAGTTTTAAGTATAAAATTCTTTTGAACACCTCAACTATTGCTGATTCAGCCTGTTTGTGTTCTGCCTCTGCAAACCTTCTAAAAAATGCATCCAACGAAATAAATGATTTGGACAAGTGAGGTCAGATTAAGCATAGAGATATATAAGGATTAGGTTGCAGAGCAAAATCTTGTCCCGAAGAAAAATTGCAATTAATGAAAATATAAAATTGTTGATTCCGACAAGTGAGATCAAATTGAGCATAAAAATAAGAAGCAGGTTGTCGGGTGAAATCTTGACCCCAAAAAAAAAAGAGTTAGGTTTGATTGTGATTTTGGATCGAAAAATAATAAATTTAAAAAAATCATGGACTACTTTTGATATAATTAATTATTAATGAAGTTAGTGAACGTGAAATAATTACGATGACATTTTCTATTTTGTCTTCGATCAGAGTTTTAAATCAAAATACATATCATTTGAAATATCAACTCGAGTCAAAGCTTATACGTATACAACTCTTTCATTTCCGATGTACCGTAACCAAATTCATTTACCCAAAAAAATTGTCGTCAAGTCTTTTATTGAATGTCTTTTTTTAAATAGTGCCGCGTCCTTTTTTAATTAAGGTATTTATGGTTTTAGTGTTTTTCATGTTAAAGCATATAAAATTTATATACACCAAATAGAACAAATAAACTCACACACCCTTCTCACATTTGATGAGGTTTGAACCCTTGACCTCCTAGGAGGCCAAAGACTCATATTTAAAAATCATTTAACATAATTTTTTTATCTATGAAACAAAATAAGTATGGTTTTACTTTTTATGTAACTTATATAAACATTATTATAATTGTTATATTTGTATTTTGATAACTATATATATTAAATAATAATTATAAAAATAATTGATATGATTAATAATANATATATATATATATATATATTACAATGGAAAAGGTGCATTTTCTCTTGTGTATGAAGTTGAAAAATCTCACTTTCTATTCATCTAAGACGAGTTGTTACAAATCCTTTACCAGTCACCACACTTAAAATCAGTCTATATAATCACAAAATTCTCTTTCCATTAACCTGAGACAACATAAACTAATGATGCTTTCGGCTACTGGACTTTCACCATTTAATTGTTAGCAGCATGTCATAAAATAGTGACATTTGTCCTACTACAAAAATTGCAATGCTTCTATGTTTTCGTCATTTATGGTTTTTATTTTGATGAACCTATTTTTAAAAAAGCTTAATTTTGGTAACTCTATTATGTCGTTACTGTAATTATGATAACATACTATGTATTTAATGTAATCATAGAACCGCTCTATAACTTGAGAACAAAATGCAACACAAAATTGAAAAAACAATATTCAGTATTTATTGTTTGAGATGTCTCGTCATAAACAATAAAATAAAGTTTTTAAAAATAAATTCTTAAATAATAAACTAAAATATGTTACTTTTCGATACAATTACTTTATTTTTTTTAAACCGATAAAATAATAATTACAAAATATTTAATGAGAATAATACAAAGGTGCCAAATGGAGATTGATATGTAATTTAAGGAAAAATAAGAGTAGGAGACAAAAGAAAATAAAAACAATAAAATCAATTTGGTTTTGATGTTTACAACTCGATCAAAATTGAAGAGGATAAATGCACTTTTTCAATAGTCTTAATGAGTGACTTTTTGTTTATATTTCAAATATTAATAATTTTATATTCATAAATAGGGGTATTTATTTTTTTAATTAATTATGGCTTTAGGTTGTGATTTTCGATCTCCAACGATTAAATTTAGGAGATGAACAATTGAGCCTGAACACAAGGACTTTAGACCTTTTTAAGAATATGTTTTTAGATATCGACACTTATGGGTAAAGGATTATAGTAACGGTGTATTTGTATGTACTAGTAATTGCGGCTAATAAGGGGAGGGGTAGGGGTGAGCATAGGCGGGTACCCGCCCTTCTTGACAGGAACCGGAACCGGAACCGGCGGTTCTTGAGATATTGGAACCGGAACCGGTTAGAGCGGTTTTTTGAATTTTTGGAACCGGAACTGCCGGGAACCGGTTCCGGTTCCGGGTACCAGCTTCCTAAAATATTAAAATTTTGTTATTTAGAAATAAAAATAAAATATTGCCAAAACACTAAATTAAATAAACAAGAATACAAATTATACGGAATAATGGTTACAAATATTGTTTTAACGATTACAAACCATAATAGACTAATTAAAATRTTCAAAGTTTAACGATTATATACTATAATTGTAAATGTTCAAAACTTAACGATTACATACTACGAACTGTAGTTTAGTAGAGCTAGAAAGTAGATGAAAAATGAAGATGACCGCGTCATTTGAAGATGTAACTTAATATAAATTTGGTATTGAAAAAAATCAATTATTTTTTTATTGAAAAACAACCGCCGGTTCCCGGTACCCGGCGAGTAACGGTTCCGAAAAACTGAGAACCGGAACCGTTCTCAATCGGTTCCGTATTTTAGGAACCGGAACCGGAACCACTCATATCGGTTCCGGTTCCGGAACCGGCGGTTCCAAGGCGGTTCCGGTTCCGCAAACGGGTACCCGATTCCGCTGCTCACCCCTAGGGAGGGGTAGACGGTGAGACTAGGTAGGTTACTAATCTTTATCTTTATATCTTTATTATGTTTATATAAAAGGAAAACATTGGGTATTGAGGTTGCATCATGAAAATTGAGTATTCTTAAATGGTGAATTGTGGTTGAATTTTTGTTGTCCCATATTGGTGAAAAGTTGAAAGATTTGAACAAAGTGAAAGGTGGATTGGATGTCTTTGTGTCAAATATGAGGTTTGCCTCATAAAGTTATTTTATTTGGATGACCCTCTTTGAAATCTATAATCATGGTTGGAATCAAAACCAACCAAATGGTAAAAGTTATACAAAAATATAAGAGTGAAACCAAGGATGATGATTTTACAACATGAGGTTTGAGTGTTCCTCAAATATGAAATAAAATTGACTTTCATCATCTCACATTCATAAAAAGATGATGGTTTGGAAGAAGATGATTGATATATAAAAGTGTGATGGAGCTTTAAAATATGTAGTCATTGTTGAAATAAAAACCAACCAATTGGTAAATTTTTTGTGCAAAACGAATGCAAATGATACATTTTTTTTTTCTTAACAAGAGTTGTGATTATTACAGTACCTATAATAACAAATGTAGTTTAAATATCTATTATATCACTTATATATACACATAATGAAAGTCTTGACTTAATGACGTGCTTTCATCTGATGTTAGTGTCCTCCAAATCGTAATTTACAGTGTTGGACGGGGCATTATAAATATAAATGTGATCCCGAGTTTTCAGACAGATCACACTTCCTCTCGGGTTGAGGCTTTTACATTTTTTCTTAAATTGAGTTTCGATCACCACATAATATGCAGTGTTGATGGATACATGAAGGCTCTTGGCTCTCTAGTTTAGGATCGTCCCTTGTGTGTTACTTATGAATTTATATGTGGTGTTCTTAAATCGTTAGAATTCTTTTTCTTTCACCCCTGTCTTTACTGTTGAGTTTATATTTGACTGTTTTTCTCTTAATTCCTACGTTGTTTTAGCCTTTGCGTACACACTCAATTTTCTTCACAAAATTTATCATTGTCTTAAACTCTTTATTTAGTTTCAAAGCCTTCAAAACTCTAATATGA